AACTGAAATGCAGAAAACATTTACATCCATGAGTTCATTAAGATACATAAAAAGCTTTCTTGGCCACCTTTGGAGGATGCTAAAGAACCAACTCATTATTTTGAATGCTAGAACATAAAGAGAAAGAATCAAGCATTTATCCTGCCTATTCTGTACAAAGGACACCTCAGGTAACTAAGCTGGTGAGGGAAACTGTCTCCTTATAGAAGCAGTCCAGATAATAAGCAAAGAACGATAGACTTAGAACGTCACCATTTTGCAATGCCCAAAATGTTAGATAAATGAGTTATACAGCAGGCAATAACCATCAATGGCTGCTAACATCACAAAAAAGAGTGATACCCAGACTTTATGTGCCTCTTGATGGAAGTATCCAGAACCACCTATGACGTATTCTTGCCCCAAAAAACATACCTGAGTCTAATCAAGCCTCAAGATCTAAATACCAGTTTATATAAAATACAAGGGGAAACACTAAATAATACCACAGAGATACAATTAGGGGGAAAAAAATCCAGGCTGTAAATACTATAGGACAAACAACTTTGTTTCTTCAACAAAAAAAAACCATAAGAAAAAAAAAGAGGGAGGAATGAAAATCTTAGATTCAAAATGTCTTAAGAGATGTTAACTACTTTAATGTATAAATCTTATTTGCAGCCTGATTTGCAGAAACTGTAAAAAAAAAAAAAAAAGAATAAGAAACAATTGAGGAAATTTATACATCAATGGCTTATCTAATGATATTAAGAAATATTAGGAAACTATTTTAGTTGTGATAATAGAATTGTGGTTATGTTTAAGTCCTTTTTTAATTAAACTTTTTATTTTGAGACAACTATAGATTCACATGCAGTTGCAAGAAATGATACAAGGAGATTCACCATACCCTTCACCCAGTTCCCCCAATGGTAACATCCTGTGAAACTATAGTACAAGATCACAGCCCAGATATTAACATTGATACAGTCAGATACAGAATATTTCCACTGCCATAGGTTCCCACATGCTGCCTTTTCTAGCCAGAACCACTTCCTTCCCAGCCACACCCCCTCTCTAGCCCCCTGGCAACCACAAATATGTTCTCCAATCTATAATTTTGTCACTTCAAAAATGTTAGGCAGCTAGTCCTGTAGTGCAAGTTCGGCACACTCCACTTTGGCAGCCCAAGTTCGCAGCTTCAGATCCTGGGTGCAGACCTACACCACTCATCTGCCATGCTGTAGTGCTGACTCACATACGAAACAGAGGAAGACTGGCACACATGTTAGCTCAGGGCTAATCTTCCTCAAGCAAAAAAGAAAGAGGGAGATTGGTAGCAGATGTTAGCTCATGCTGAATCTTCCTGAACAACAACAACAACAAAATTTTAGATAAATGGAATCATACACTATGCAATCTTGGGGGACTGGCTTTTCACACTCAGCATAATAATCTGGAGATGCATCCAGATTGTTGAGCATATCAATAGTTGGTTCCTTTGTATTGCTGAGTAGTATTCCATGGTAAGCATGTACCACAGTTTGTTTATCCACCCACCCTCTGAAGGACATTTAGGTTGCTTCCATTTGGGTTATTATGAATAAGGCTGCTATAAACATTCGTGTAGAGCCCTTACCTTTTAAAGATACATACTTAAATATTTCTGGATGAGAGAAGATGATGTTTAGGATTTGCCTCCCAAAAATTCCAGATTGGGTAAGATACCAAAAAAACAAGATTGGCCATGAGTTTGTAAGTGCATTATACTATTATCTCTACGTTTGTATATGCTCATAATTTTCCATAATGTAAAGTTTAAAAAAAAGAAGACAGTAAGAAAAAATTACTTATCTGACCACTACACACCCACATACACAAACACACACACATCTTCAAGTAAAATTGAAGGCTTTTTTAAAATCTTATGATTTTAGCCCAGGATCACAGGAGTTCTTTACCTAAAACAGAGAGCCCACACCTCCCAGTGATCATTATTGTAACATTCACTCCACCAATTTCGGCAGATCCAAGGAGGCACGTGGTAACTTTCTTTTGGAAGTTCTTTATTAGGCTGCAGGGTTGAGATAATAGGTAGTCCCTAATGTTGGACAAAAGCAGGTAAGTAATCATCATAATCAAATGTATGAGATTCATGAGTGGCTTGTCTTCAAAGAAGAGGGTTCACGTCTGATACAAACAGGTCCTTATCATCAAGACAAATGCTGAGAGAACGGAAGTGTGATTACTAAAGATGAAGAGCAACAAACTATATGAGCACAATCAAGCCTGAAAATGAAGTGAGATGCATTTTATATTATGCGAAGGCTGCTTTTGTTTTTAAGCTGCTCTGGAGGACGGGATGTCATTATCATGTTCAGTCTGCAAGCTAACAGTTCTTTAGTACAACACCGCAAAATGGTATCTACTGTTTGGTGCCACCAATATTCTATCAGCTCATTCTCCCCTTCACCCCACTATTTTTTATCCACATGGGGCCTTACCAAAATGAAGACCTACCCTCTCAAAGATCTCCAGCAACGAAAAGCCTGTAAATACCAACCCATGAACTAATCTGGGATGAAAAGCCAAGACCTCCAAAGGAAATATTCAAGGTGACTTTCAACTGCAAGCAGTGCAATGGCAACAAACAGGTTTCCCTTGCTAGGTCCTTAATGCCTGGACATGCGCTGCAATGAGCAATTCTAAAGCTTAATCAAATAAAGTTTGTCTCAAAAGCAGGATAGCTGTCCACTGATCAACCTCAGTAAGACAAATTGGAAGGGACATCTAAATGTTTAGCTGTGTTGTAGCTTGGTTATACCAAACATCCCTCCTGTTAAATGGGCCCCACACCTGGTGTTAGAAATAGTAATGCTTATGGTGATAGGATTTGGTCATTACAGACTACAATAGCTAGAAAAAGACGGTCCACTAATAGCCTGTCTATATGATACTGATATGCCTATAAATTGAAAGATATTAGTCAATTCCATGATAAACAATCGAAGTACAGATTGGTTCATTTGGTTGGTTTAGCAACTTAGGAGTTCTATCAATGGAAGGAACTCTATTGGCAACATCATATTAGGAAACTAAGAAAATACAGCTGAGTTCAAAATCTTGTTCATATGTCACGAGTCAGAACAGAGATATATGGAATTAAAACCTCAAACGACACAGACCACCAGGAACTGTGCTATAGGCTTCCATTAAGGAGATTAATATTAGGACTGCTGGCGACAGAAAAAGGGAAAGGATAAGAATGGGCTCAGGAGCATAATGAAAAATGTAATTGAGAAGGAGCAGAGAAAAAGGCACTAAGGTTAAACACACATATATTTTTGGATGCTCTCTTCCTCTACCTTTGCCATCTTCCTTTACTCTTAGAACCAAACATCTTATGGGTCCTGTGGATTCTGACACTACAGTATACATTTCTGGACAGCTTGTGGTCAATGACAAGACACTGGAAGTTGAAACTCTTATTACTCACTTTGACATACTTAAAGGTTAATTTAAAATATTTTGCATAAAATAAAATGCCTTGCCAAAATCGTTATGGCGGATTTGCTTACACATCTCATTATCCTTCTTCATAGCAACCACCCATGCCTGGTCTATGGAACCAGAGCTTCAGAGGGGGCCATTTTTGTGAGCTGAGGTGGTTTCAGAGAAAAGAACATATGAGAGAACAAGTAGGAAAAATGCAAATAGAACAAAAAGGGAAGGCATCAAACCTGGAAAGAATTCCAAGGACAAACTGCAAGAGATGGCTTCAGGGAAATGAACAGCTGTGTAGAGGGGAGGAGAAGAAGAGACGCTTGAAAGGGCAGGCTGGAGCCAGGGAGTGGCAGCCATGAAGCCCAGAGGAGGCACTCAGACCATAGGCCACAGGCCTTTGGGGAGCTTTGCAGGTTTGCACATGGTTAAGGTAAGTGCAGTGGTGATTAAGAAGTGACTAATGGTAAGGGGCAGGGAGGGAAGGAGAGGACGACGAGAGCTGGGAGGCTCTGCTAATTGTTCCAGGTGAGGCCTTAGGGTTGGATCTCAGAGGGTGAAAGTGGGAGGGGGAAGGAAAGGACTAATGTGAGGGGCAGCGTGAAACATATAAAGGCTCAAACCTAGTTTTGTCCTCAATTAAAACCCAGAAAATGGTCATTTGCAGTCATTGTCAAAGAACTACTTACGAGATGCTAAGGATTCTTATGTTGATTGAGAGGTAAACTGTCATTATTATGATCAAACACATAAGAGAGCATAAAAATTCTAATGGCTGATAAAGTCATTTTTAAAGGAAGCTTTGATTAAGCTTAACAGAGGCTGGGAAAAAATAAGACTTTTGATCTAAGTAAAAAATATTTTTAAGGAAACCATGATTGGTTGCGAGGTGATGAGTATTTCTAAATTTCTAAAATAATTAACTGCTGATTTTAGCAAGGCAGTAATAATGACTTGATTGACAGATCTATTTTCTCTACTTTTTCAGATCACTATTACAAACCTATTATTCATCAAAAGTTAGATTTTTTTTTTTACAAATGTACCTATGTGTAAAATCCTGAAACATTACAGGTAACACAAGCTAAATCACCTATTTCTTAGTGTATATGCCCACTTAGTTCCTATTTTTATTTACTTAATGCCTTTTTATTGAGCGCCTACTAGATGATAAGTATTGTGCTGGTGCTGGGTGTACAATGAAGAGGAAAACAGACGATGCGGTCTGCCCACAAGGGAGCACATAGTATAGTGGAAAAGACATCAATTTAAAAAAAGAATCTAAGTATATAATTTAAAATTGTGATAAGCACTATGAAAGAAAATTACAGGGTCCTATGATAGCTTATAACAGGGAGGCTAAACCAAGCCTGGGTCTGGGATAGTGTTTAAAGGAAACTGAGCTGAAATCTGTAAGGATGCAGAGGAGTGAAATAGGAAAAAGAGTAGGGGAGAGAGAAGCAGAAGAAAAGAGAAGCAGAGGGAAAGCATCATATACAATAAAATGAAAATATTCTCACCTGCTGGGAAATAGTGTCCCACGGTCCCTGCAGCAGCCGTGTCTTATAGCACTCATGGACTCCTTCCCATATGTCCTTCAGAGCTAAAGGTCTTCCATCTGTGAACGTGCATGGCAAAGACGGTCAGGTAATAATCCATTTGACACAATGGTGCTTGGTGTCTACCTAAAACTACTGGAAGAAGATTATGATTTTTAAAAAAAACCTTTACTAGTACACATACTATTTATATATCAAAAAAGAGCCATATGAATTACTATTTTATACCTGAGAGAAACAAACATTCAAGCTTCTCTTCTTTGTAACCATCTAGCAGTTAAATTATCTGCTCATTCACTGCCTCTAGAAATTTTACAAAATAAATAAAATCCAAATGTGTTTTAGAGAGAACTGACAGATAAAAGCATAGGCAAAGGACCAGGTAGACAGACTCCCATTTTCACAATAGTGCACTACGGATACCTCTGAAGTCTTAATATTTCCCCGAGTCCTTAAATCAAAGACCACGCACATGCTTCTTTCTCTCTCTTGCTGACTGAATATCTGTAATGTCCAAATCACTCTGTTGGGTACCACGGGGAATAGAGAAAAGGAAAACACACAACTTCTCTTAGTAAGGAGCCTACCTCCTACTAGGGAAACCATGACAAGTATATCAACAGCATATCAATAACTAAAATACTAGGTAGGAAGTGGTCGCTGCCAGAGGAAAACTGCAGTTCTCCGATCGTCCAGAGGAGGGAGACAGTAACACCCAGTGTCGGTGGCACATGGAGAAGGGGATTGTTGGGGTGGAGGGACGTGAGAAGGCGCTGGCATGAAGAGGTTAGTAAAAGTTTTAATGAACAATAATTCTCCTTTTATTTGTTTAAACAGCTTCAATTATTCACATATTTTCTTAATCAACCAAATAACGTATTTTATGAAGACCACTATGTCACAAGATAAGTGGAGAAATAGATATCTAAGTTCAGAAAAGAAAGTAGAAAGAGGGAATTCACCAAAGACTTTCAAACCACACCCTGCTGGAAAGAAAGTGCTCTAACTGCTAGACTTTAGCGCTATATGGCCCATTCAGAGCTACCAAGTCCTCAAGACTTAGGAGTGTGCTCGTTTCCTTAGGGAAGTGGACAATATCATTTAAAGAAAACTCATCAATATAAAAAATCATTAGATCCCAAGAAGTATTTGATCATCAGGTGCAACAAAACTTGGGGAAATAATCTACTTGAAATGCCCCCAACACCAAAAGGTATTGCGCTCAGACTTGACTGTAAGTAGAGAGGTGGGGTGCAGGAGATAGGCACTAGATTTGGAGTCTTGGCTGAGTGGGAATCCTGGCGTTGGCGCTTACTCTCTATGCGACTGCAAATTATTTGCTTTTAACTTTACCTATAAAATGAAGATAATAATCCTTTTCAAATCCTGTTCTCATGAGCAGGCTTCCGTCAGTGAACACACCCAGGACTGTGTCAGGCACACAGTAAGAGCTTAACACATTTAGGTATCTCTTCCCAGCCGCCACTGTACCATTCCAGTAATTCTCATACTGCAAAACTAAAAGATTCATTTAGAGACCATTATTTCTTAGAATTTTCTCGTGCTTCTATACCAGGAACATTGTGTTTAATATAGTAATAGACTAACACCACGCAGGGCACTTCTCATGTTTGACCTGAAAAGTTGAACTTTTCCTCAACCTTTATTTTCAATAAATAGCAAGAGAATATTTTGATACATTTTCAATAAGTATCTTCATCTTGGCATTTATCTGGCGGCAGGAGACCATTATCTAGTGATAAATAGTTTTATTCCATTGACATTTCCATGTCTGTAAAATGAACAAGATTTATTCATCCAATTAACATTTGAATGTCATGTTTAGCTACAAGTTAAAAACAAGCTGCCTTCAGTATCTGTGTTATATTGTTTTCTGAACACATTTACAGAGTAGGGCCAAACTTTGCCCTTAAGTTAAGAAGTACACATCTTCAGAATATGCACGTGCACATGCGTGTATTGATGTTGGAAGAGGGGAATAGGATCTTAAGTACTTCAGTGTGAAATAGTAATCTAAACAATCAAATTATAAATAGATGACATGCTTTTAAAATGCTTTTCAGATGTCAAAGTTAGAAGAAATCAAGTCGTAGGATAGTAAAATGTTAGAGCTGGTACAATTAGTAATTTTATAAATTAGGCAAAAAAAGGTCTGGGAAATACATGTCTGCCAAAATCATGCAGCCAGTTCAGGACTGCACTGGAGCGGAACTTCGAGTCTCAGGACTCACAGTTCAGTGCTCTTCCTGCTCGTCCACGCTGTCTCTGAGGGTGGACACTGGGTCTGTCCTTTCACCTCTGCAGTCCTGCTGTGTAGTTGCACGCCTCACTCACACATTGCAAATGCTTTATGAATATTCCCTGAATGCATGATAAATGAAAGAATGCCTTCCTTAACTTTATTTTTATAAAGTCCAAGACAGAGAAAGGCTTTTGCAGACCTAGACAAGAAGACTGGGTTTAAATCTGGTAATCAGTAACGATTTTAATTTTATTCCTCAAAATATTTCAGTCAACAATCTAAGGATGGAGTGAATGGTTTGGATATTACCACTGTCAACAACCTGCATACTCTGCTGGAAGCATTCATCCCAAATCAGAAGCCTAGCAACAATGTGGAAAGACCCAGAACAAATATTATAGAATATTTTCATCAGATTTGAAGCTAGAATTCAGGGTATGTGCCAAAAGTTTTCAAACACCAAATTTAGAGAAAAAAAATTTAACACCTTAGAATACAGGAATTAAAAAATAATCTGGTCAATTTAGAATAACAGACAATCACAAGGAATTAAAAATAAGTTCAAAACATAAAAAGATGCATGATACTCCTATATGCATGTCTGTAAAAGTGCCACCCGCTTGCTACGAAGAGAACTGTGGTTTTTTTAATTGAGATTATGATAGTTTACAATCTTGTGAAATTTCAGTTGCACATTATTGTTTGTCAGTCGTGTTGTTGGTGCACCACTTCACCCTTTGGGCCCTCCCACCCCCCCTTTCCCCTGGTAGCCACTAATCTGTTCTCTTTGTTTACATGTTTAACTTCCACATGTCAGTGGAGCCATAGAGAGATTGTCTTTCTCTATCTGGCTTATTTCACTTAACATAATTCCCTCAAGGTCCATCCATGTTGTTGTGAATGGGATGATTTTATTCTTTTTTATGGCTGAGTAGTATTCCATTGTATATATAGACCATATCTTCTTTATCCAATCATTAATTGATGGGCACTTAGGTTGCTTCCATATCTTGGCTATTGTAAATAATGCTGCAATGAACATAGGGGTGTAAGGGACTTTTGGAAAGGAGAACTGTGTTTTTTTGTCTGTTTGTTTTTTAAAGATTTTATTTTTTCCTCTTTCTCCCCAAAGCCCCCCAATACATAGTTGTATATTCTTTGTTGTGGGTCCTTCTAGTTGTGGCATGTAGGACACCGCCTCAGCGTGGTTTGATGAGCAGTGCCATGTCCACGCCCAGGATTCGAACCAATGAAACACTGGGCCGCCTGCAGCGGAGCGTGCGAACTTAACCACCCGGCCACGGGGCCAGCCCCAGGAGAACTGTGTTTTTTAAGTGAATGGATGCGATTACATTCTCTAGTGCATTTTCAGAACTTTAAAAACACATTAAGGATGAATAAATGAATGCTTGCGCAAGCTACTTTGACAAGAGTGTCAATCTCTCCAGTGTCTGCTGACCGTTTACGCTATAGAAGATCTGGGTAATATGGCTTTGGTTCTCACATACAGTCATGACAATAATACTTAATGAAGTATGATGTGGGTTCTTTCCCTAAGGCTTCATCATTGGTTTTCCTGGTCATAGCTCACACTTTCACGATCAACAACATACAAAAGTTAGTTTTCGATCTTTTATACAAAAACAAAACATTTCGACACAAACAGCAATATCTCCAAAACCATGCCATATACTATCGATGCCTACAATATATTCAAATATGATTGTGACTCTAATTATTCCAAAAACAAAATGGAGCCTTCAGAAATCCCACTGACATCATTGAACTGAGATAGGTAAAAATATAAGGCACCACAGCACAGAAATAGGGCTTAAATATGGCAGAAACTTGAAGAACTTCGTAATTTTGTATATATCTATTTATGAAAACTGAAGGCCCAAAACTTTAACCTAAAATTAAAATGTGGGCATAAACAAGTACCTGGTTAAGCTCAAGAAGCACATTATTATGTGCCTTCATGTTCAGTTGAAGGTATCTTCAATCAGAAATGTTAAGCCCTGTTAAGAAGGTCTATTTTTTCTATCTGGCCTCAGTCAGAGCAGATATAAGCATACTCAATCAACAACCCCCTAGTTTCAGGCCCAAGATATTCAATGGCACCAATTTTAACATGCTTAGAAGTCTCATTAATCACATTGAGCCTGAGAAGCGACTAAAATCTCCTGCATACTTGAACAATTGGAGGAGAAGCTGAAAGAATTTCAACAGCAACCCACAAAGTGAGCACAATAAATTAAGGTCATTTATTTAACATGTGCTTATTGAGTGCCTACTGTGTGCGCTCAGAGTGGAATGATGTCACCTGGATGGATAATACACATCTGAGCTAAAGGAATATTCTGTCAGCAACCGAAAGTGTCAATGACAGAAGAGGAAGAGACATTGGATGAAAAATAGAATAATTAAAAAGTACAATCTTTAGCAACTGCCAGTAGCATTTAATTTAACATTTTCATATAAAATCTCTCAATTGAATAATAACCTACATGTCAAGTAATCTATATATTACTCAAAATGTGCAGCTTTCTAAATTAAATTTCCCAGGGCTATTAGTTTTCATGAATCAGATAACACGTGAGCTATTTCACTAGCACTACCTAACTCGAGTGCAAGCACAGGACTCACCTTTGTCCTACTGTGCATGGTTTGCCAAAACTTCCTACCTCCCAAAATGAAGATTAGAGAGAGTATAAATTATTTAGAGTAAGCTTAAGAATAATGTTCTGAATGTGGTCACTAGAAATAAAAAGGAAAGAGTGGATTTTTTACGATGAAATCTGTCATTATTCAATATATTGTCTTCACAAGAACTTTGAAGGATATAAATATTCATGTCACACAGTAAGGCAGAGATGATGCTCCACCAAAGGGGAAAATTCATTTTTGCTTCAGTGAGAAAATCATATTCTGATATGAAATGAGTGTTAATTGTTCATGTACATTCATATCAGCTACTATGCTAGCTAATTCTGTAATTTTTATCCCTACATACATTTTTAGCATTTTGTATCTTTATTAATTTCAGGAAATCTGAATAAAAATTCCAAAAATACAGATTGTGGCAAGTTCTTTTACTTACATATGACAGCATAATTAATTTAACTTATTTTTTCTTAAATGTTGGTTGTCATTTGAATGACAGCGTTGCACAGTAAAAAACAGGCTATAGGGTTTGTCTCAACTCCTTAGTTTTCGTGTACCCTCTGAGCACTCAGTTTTTATGTCTGTGCGTGAGGATAGTAACAGTTTCTACCTTACAATGTAAGCATCAGAATACAAAACTCAGCTGGCAATATTGACAGCTATTATGTGCCAGGCCTCATTTCATATATTAGCTCACAATCTTCAAAACTCAATGAAACTGATATTATTATTGTCTCGACTTTTTTTCATTAATCAAAGAAAGGAAACAAAAAGTTCAATAACTTCCCCAAGGTCATACAGTTAGTAAGTAGCAGAGCTGGGAATCAGAACCAAGGCTTTCAGGCTCCAGACCCTGCACTTTCCCCATCACACCGTATGTCTCTGTACCCGGAGCAATTCGTAAACTATAAAGGGATACACACATACTAGTTGTGTTGTTGTTGTTGCCACTAGTAGACTCCACCAACACTGTCTAACCTAAGAGAATCTAGAATTTTGCCTTTCCTGGGTTTCTTAACTAGGTGTGGCTGCCCTTTCCCTCATCACTGCACAGACAAATCACAAGTCCAGCCAAGGCCTCTCTTGGTCACCCCGCTCAAGGTAATCTCAGCCCTCTGTGGCCTGGCGGCAATTTTTTCCCCCAGCTTTACTGAGATATAATGGAAATAAAACATTGTGTAAATTTTAAGGTATACAATGTGATGATTCGATATACATACATTGGGAAATGATGACCACAATAAAGTTAGGTAACACGTCCATCACCTCACATAGTTACCTTTTGAGTGTGTGTGGTGAGAACACTTAAAATTTACTTTCTTAGTAACTTTCAAGTGCACAACAGTATTATTAGCTACAGTCACTATGCTGTACATTAGGTCCCCAAAACTTAGCCACCTTATAACTGAAACTCTGTACTCTTTGACCAACATCTCCCCACCTCTCAGCCCCTGGGAACCACCAATCTACTCTCTGCCTGGTGGCCCATAACATATTCTACTTCTCACTGTGAATTTCAGACCTGTCTTGTGTCCCTCCCTGGACTGTAAGCTCCTTGAGGACATCGTCCATCTCTGGTTTCCTTTATTCA